TCAGCCAGACAATAAATAAAAGTCGTCGTTACAAGTACAGTCTTAACAGATGAATGTTTCTTGGTAACTGGTTGACTTATGACTTGCATGTTCTTGTTCGGCTGGGACTGTAGTCTACATGAGGAGCATGAAAGAGGTGTAGAGGACTCGCTTCCTATATGGACTTGTGCAAGCCCAGAAGCAAGGTGATCGCGATGTCCGACCTGAGCTCTGAGAAACTCGTGTCTGGGAACTTTGGAGAGGAGGAGGAGATGGGCTTCAGCAATCGCAACTCGGCTCGAGATTGTGCGGACTGTGACTTGATGACTCTGGTTTCTTTTTACACCAGGTTTCATGTGCTCCGAGGAGTCGCCCCCGCCATTTTTTTGCCTCAGTTCTTCGCAGTCTATGGCAGCATTGCGCATGCCTGTTGCGCCTGCCGTGCTGTGGAGCGCGTTGCAAAGCTGCCGCAGCTTCGCCAGTTCTCCACACGGCTTCAAGAGCAGCCGGGCCTTCTGAGATCTGCCAGCTCATTCAGTTCTTCCAGGTTGGCGAAGCTTCTCGATTCAGGCCATTGGCTGCGGTTGCGCCGCTGCTTCAAGGTCCTCTACTCTCCGATCCTTTTACTAATCCTCGTCCTGCTCCTGCAAGACCCAGACTTCTACCCGGGCGCCGGTGACTTCTTCTGTTTCCCTTGCCGGTGTGTTTACCCTGAGGAGGGATTTTTGCTGTGTGTTGGGAATGCTGACTTCATGTCACAACTTGATGAAGTACTTGCTGACATCATATTACACAAGAGAGATAGATGTATTCTCGGAGTCGAATGGACACATGTGTAGTTTTGATTGGTAGCAGGAAGGACCAAGTTCGGTTTGTAGGAGCTCAGCAGCTCAGTGATTTGCAGACAAAGGCCGTTTATCGGATGGCTTGTGGTTTGAGGCAAAGCCTTAGCATGCCGCAGAAGGGGAAGTTACCAGTTTGTCATAACTGCTGCTCAAGTCGGGCTCTTACCTTCAGGATTGCGAGGCTTTGAGCACCGAGACAGCTGGGTGCGATTCTGAGTCTCTTGCAAGAACGATCGGTCATTTAAAGGCTTCCTGATTGGTCGCCACTCAGGTCTTGCAAACAACAGGTCGAGAATGTGCGGCTGGAGAGCTGTGCCCTGGCAGCCATTCTGCACCAAGAGGAGATATCGATCAGCGGGATCAGCAGCATTGCGCCAGGGGCCTTGACCGCGCTTGGCTGCCATGTGAAGCGTCTTTCATTCAGCAACAGCAACCTGACGTCCTTGCCAGCCCGGCGCTTCGAGAGCCTTGGTTGCTTGCTGGCGCTCGACCTGGGAAAGTCGCAGCTGCAGAAATTGGACGAGGACGCCTTTGTGGGACTCACAGAGCTGAGATTGCTTTCCCTGAGCCAGAACAAGCTCACCAACTTATCGGCAAACCTTTCGCATATGCCACGTTTGGAACAGCTCCTTCTAGGAGGAAAGAGGAACAAGTTCAATAAGACCATCGTCCGTGGAAACGAGCTGGTCCACCTGCCTTTGCTTGTGCACCCCAGGCTTCAGGTTCTCGACATCAGTGAGAATTTGTTGACAGCAATGCCAGCAGCTGCTTTCACTGGCTTGCCAGCCCTACGAAATCTCGACTTTTGTCGGAACCAATTGGCATCGCTTCCGGAGGGGCTGTTTCCAGGCTTGACCTCCCTGCAGAGCTTGGACTTGAGTTGGAACCAACTGGCATCGCTTCCGGAGGGGCTGTTTGCGGACTTGACCTCCCTGCAGAGCTTGTACTTGGATTCGCTTCCGGAGCGGCTGTTTGCGGACTTGACCTCCCTGCAGAGCTTGTCCTTGTATTCAAATAAATTGACATCGCTTCCGGAGCGGCTGTTTGCGGACTTGACCTCCCTGCAGAGCTTGTCCTCGGATTCAAATGAATTGGCATCGCTTCCGGAGCGGCTGTTTGCGGACTTGACCTCCCTGCAACATTTGGGCTTGAGTTGGAACCAACTGGCATCGCTTCCGGAGGGGCTGTTTGCAGACTTGACCTCCCTGCAGAGCTTGTCCTTGTATTCAAATAAATTGGCATCGCTTCCGGAGCGGCTGTTTGCGGACTTGACCTCCCTGCAGAGCTTTTCTTTGCATTCAAATAAATTGGCATCGCTTCCGGAGCGGATGTTTGCGGACTTGACCTCCCTGCAGAGGTTGTACTTGTATTCAAATGAATTGGCATCGCTTCCTGAGCGGCTGTTTGCGGACTTGACCTCCCTGCGGAGGTTGGGCTTGAGTCGGAACCAACTGGCAGCGCTTCCGGAGGGGCTGTTTGCGGACTTGACCTCCCTGCAGAGGTTGTACTTGGATTCAAATGAATTGGCAGCGCTTCCGGAGCGGCTCTTTGCGGACTTGACCTCCCTGCAGAGGTTGTCCTTGTATTCAAATAAATTGGCATCGCTTCCGGAGCGGATGTTTGCGGACTTGACCTCCCTGCAGAGGTTGTACTTGTATTCAAATGAACTGGCATCGCTTCCTGAGCGGCTGTTTGCGGACTTGACCTCCCTGCGGAGGTTGGGCTTGAGTTGGAACCAACTGGCAGCGCTTCCGAAGGGGCTGTTTGCGGACTTGACCTCCCTGCAGAGGTTGTACTTAGATTCAAATGAATTGGCAGCGCTTCCGGAGGCACTTTTTGCTGACCTGGCTC